CGAAAAACTAATAAAAGTTGTATTCATATCTTTTGCAATGATCGAGTTTTAGATTCTTAAATCATTGGGTGTTGTACACAAGTGATGATAAATTTGTAGAATATCATCAGGTGATATGAATTTTTGTTTATATTTAATCTTGTCGAGTCTCTTTTGTGAATAACATTTGGTATTAGATGTTACCAAAGGCATGGTCACATCTAAAGTCATTGGTAACAAGTTCCTCAAAAACACACGACAAGATCGGTCGAAATTCGGTCGCGTGATTGGGTTTTTATAAAATAAAAATATTGAAAAAATAAACAATTATTTAATATTTCATTCGCTAAAATGTTTTATAGACAGAAAATACTTGAAAGTCTATTTTTTAACATGTAATGGTACAAAACGAATATTTATTCGTTTTGTTTCGTTAATAATTAGATAATATTCTTTTACAATACACTTTCATTTATTTATTTGGGATCCAACACAATAATTAATATGTTTTAGTTAAATAAAATTATTAAAAATGAAAATATTTCGAGATCCATAAGAATAATGCAGTTTGCTTTTGTTTTTCTCTTCGAGAAATTTTGTGACATTCAAAATGATAAGGATCTAGATGATGCGATTAGATCGACTAAATCACGCTAATTGGGTTCCGTAGAACAGTCTTAATTCTTGTTCCTAATCGACCGAAAGAAAGCATAAATGATAAAATATTTATCTCAATTTGATATTATTTACATCATAAAAAAAGGTCATTTACATCTTCCAATTATTTTTCAATAAGGTTTTCATTAAGCTACTGAACAGTAGAAGAAGTTAATAATCTAAAAAATTTTAATCAATATCAAAGATATGATAGGTTAATATTTAGAAATTTATATTTTTTTTAATTTTACGGAAATATTCAATTTTAATATATTAAACAAAACAAAACGTAAGACTAAATTGATCAGTCGTTAGAATAAATATGTTTAAATAGTATTGGTATCATGTAATTGGTGTACTGTACATATTTGATACTATAGTGAAAGGCGTTACAAATAGTACAAAACATGAATAAAAATTCCTAAATATTCTTATATTCTTGTTTTATATGAAATAAATGTTAAATATTTGTAAAAACGGCATAAAGTTAAATATAAATTGGCATTGAATAGTATGATATACGAGTATAAACAAATCAATTATTTAAAAATATTTTACAAAAATCTTATAAATAAACTTTTTTAACTTCAATATTTATTTATTATAACTTAAATCTAGTCTATATTTAAATTTATTTCATATTGCAATTAAATTTATTTTTATCAATAAAAATACATTCTATTTTACTATTTATTTCTGATTTAAATTGCTAAAATATTTATATAGGTCTATGTTATGAAAAATTTTCTCGACATAATTCATTTACATATAAATAACTAAAATAATTTTGGTAAAAGAGCATTTTTTTTTGTTTTCTTATTTAAAATCTCTGTACTTTAATCCACATTTTGTTCATTCGCATTTACTAAAAGATATGTTACAGTATCTAACAGCTCAATTATCAATTTATAAATGTGGATTAAAATTACCAAATATATAAACTGTTACGGTATTTAGTAAGCTTTATATAAATAATTTAAAGAATAAATAAATACTCTCATTGATTGATAAAATTTTTGTATTCAAACTATGCACTTCATATTTTTAGGTGTGTGTTTATATCTAAATACCTACGGTACGTGAAACCAATATTTAGTTGTAGCAATACATAACTGTTTTACAAACAGTAAAATTCAATATGAAACATACGAATAAACGTGAATAAATCAAACTTTATAAACTTTATAAGTTAAAATACGAGTAGAAATGTGATATGGTTACTAAAGTGATCAGACTTAACACAGAAATTAATTAGAAAATGCATGTGAAAATTAAACTTGCAAAGCACATCCATTATTATCCATGTTTACAAAGTAAAAATTTCAATATTTGTTTTACTTCATATCTTCAATATTTATTTTATTAAATAATTATATAAATATGAAAATTAATATGAATTTTTTTCTGTGTGATGATAATCATCTCTTCAAGATATGTTTTTTCCTCCATATTTTTTATCACACGATTTTCTGTAATTAAAAAAAGCATATAGGAAACGATATAAAATGTAAAGAAATGAATAAAAAGGTGTGCTATATTTATCTTTAATATCATACCATTTCAAACATTTTTTATTTATATAGATCTATTCAGCTTATTAATAACGATTAATGCATTTCGTTAATTTGTATAATTTATAAATTGTTTTAATAAAATTATTATATGAGAAGGTTTTATATTACAGCATCTTAATGGATTTCTTTGTAATTCCTACCTTTGATATTAAGTTTAATGTTTAATTCTCGAATATTCAAAAAACAAAACAAAATAGAAGATTGAATAGCAATCAGGATAATCTCTTCAATAAATGATCATTATTTTTGTTGTTTCATTTTTAAAATGTAAATTTTAGAGTTTCGAACTTCTATTATCGCTAAAAAGATTATAATAAAATATAATTGATCAGAATAATTTGAATAGTTTTTAATAAACCAGAATTTGTAAAAAAATATAATTAATTATTAATATTAATTATTGAATTTATTTTATAAATTTTATTCTAAATATAAACGTATAAGTTAAATTTAAATATGATATATTATGTCAATTCTATTTTTATCATAAATTTCTTAAATTTGTCGTATAATTACGACGTCGTAAGAAAATACGGAAAAGTAAGAAAGTAAACACATAATTTCCATATTTTAAATTTATAAATCTTATTACTTTGTTTTATTTCTTTTGTAAAGAGTGTTTTTAAAATAAATTTTTAAATCTTTTTAAAACAAAATCAAACTTGACACAAAGGAAAAATAACATCAATTTGATGAGTTTATAGTAACAAACGACAATTTTTGTATAAGGAGTAGATGTAATACAGAATTCATTAAATAGTCTGTAAATTGGTTTAATTTTTGCATTTAAATAATATTTTATAAAATAAATAAAATAAATTTATCTCTCAGTAAATATTTGGAAGGCTTTAAATATATTTGCAGAACTGGTTGCATATAAAACTAAAAATATTCTGTGGCTTTTATTTTTATTTGGTGCAATCAGTTCAGCAAATTTTTGAGATTATTTTATTCGGTTTATTGAATAAAATGGTCTAAAAATAAATGTTTTAATATCATAGTGTAAAGATTAGGATTTGATAAGTAAGATCTTATGTTATATGATTGTATATTTGACGATTAATTTTATATAAATGGAATTCGTCAATATTTAAAAATTCAATTAGAAATTACTCAATAAAATTAATGTTTATGCAATTTTAAAAATATTTATTACTAAAATTTTAATGAAATTTTCAATTTTAGAGAACGAATTTCAAATTAGTTCTGTAAGTTAAATTTATATTCATACTTACAAAATATTTTCTTTTGAGTATAAATTCATTCAAATATATATACAGTATTAATACTTTAAAATAGTACCTTATAATAAAATTAATAATTTTTAAATTAGTATTTTCTTAATCAAATTAAGTTAGCAGAAGCTCTTAGTATTGAAGATTTTATTAAATTTTGTTTTATATTCAAGTATTATTATATTTTCTTATATTTTAAATACAGTTCTAACTTAACATTACATATCCACGAATTGTTATTAATTAATTTGATTTATTGAATATTATCAAACAATTAATGAAACTTATACAAATCATGATATTAGAATATTTTTATTTAAGAAAGAAAACTGATTATTATTAAATTTTATGTGTAGTCGCGTTAAAAATAGAAAATAGTAGATGTTGATTTTCTTTTTTTTACAATGTTTATCTTCTAGTTTTTTCCTCGTCGATTTTATCTATTTTGAGCAATTCTTGCTTTCTAGTTGTGAAAATATCACATTGCTTCAATAACAAACGTTTATTAAATTTATAAAATAATTGGCAATGATACAATTTCTAACTCTGTTAAACTCTTTATTTTGTTTAAAAGATAAAGATGCAAAAAGCAATACATATTAATAAATCAATGTAGTTATGATTAAATTATATACTATATACATAGTATATAGTAATGAGAAACCAAATTAAAAAATATCATTACTTATTTACCCGAAAATAACCCGACACTGAATACAAGCAGCACTTTAGTTTTTATACCGCGCTTCTAAAAAAGTAGTTTGTGGTCTATTATAAGCCGCACCTAACTATGATGTATTTGCGCAGGCTTCTACCTGGGCTGTAGAATGGGCTGGGCTGTATAATGTCACCATCGAATGCAAATTGCCTAATTTCATCGACGATATTTGTTTGTCTGGTTTGGTCTAATGAATTAAACAGAAAATAAATGTATGTTTCTTACACAACTAAATACAAGAAAAAGTCATCTTTACCGCAGAGAAAATTGGGAATAGAACAGTTGTACAGAATATGGAAATTCGGATTTGAAGAAAGTCAAATTAGTAAATGGAGAAGGTGAAAGCTGGCATTATTGAAATCTGAACGAAATATTGTTGATCTTTCGTGGCCGCCAAAAAAAGGACGTCGTCCAGAATTGGAGGAAGAAGTGGCAGAATACGTTCGGCAAATGTGTAATAATTGTTTATGTATGGCAAACTCCAGAATTAGCCTTAAAACCTTAAAACACATGAAGTTTCCAGCTCTATGCGTATTCAATGTGAAGTATTCCGAGCAAACACAAATTTATAAAACGATAAGAAATTTCACGGGCCTGCACATTTCCGTCGCACCGAAACTTTCAGCAAACTTTGAGAATAAGCTCGTGAATTTCCAGAGATATAGGATTAATCTTCAAGAATGGGACACGTTTTTGATAAGGCTGATTTGCAACGTCGATGAAACTTCAATTTGGTTCGATATGACGAGGAATTATATATATTAGATGACACTGACAATAATAAATCAGAATGAAGACTACTGGTTATAGAAAAATCGGATCATAGTCATACTAGTCATGATAGTAGATGGACAGAAACCACCTCTTTACTTTAGTTTCGAGAGGAAAAATTTACCAAAGGAAAAAGATGGAGACATTTCCATCGAGGGCCATCATTCGAGTACAAGAGAAGAATGGATGACAGAACAATCGATGGTAGATGGCTGCAGACTGTTTGGGGGACGACGCCCTTGAGCTCTTCTTGGTCATCTAGCAATGTTTGTATTAGATGTATTCAGAGAGCACTTTTCCGACGAGGTAAAATGTGAAATTAGGTAACAAACGCCAAACTGAGAGAATGATATCGGTGTTCCAGCCACTCGATGTTAGTGTCGGTAAACCATGTGACGGAGCATGAGACATGGCTAGAAAGTGCATAACATACGCTGACACCTTCAGTAGAAATTCAGCGAGCCTTTGCTCCAACTGTCACAAGATGAATGAAGGCCACAAAGGCATCGAAGAAAATTAAGTCATTCAAGAAATGTTCAGTCAGTCATGTTTTGGACGGAAGTGAAGATAACGCTTTTTGGAAAGATTACGAGAATAATAGTCTCTCGAATGGAACATATTCGTTGTGCTGAGCATAATGTTAACGCCTCTGATTCTGAATATCCCTACAGTACCAAAAGTGACACAAAGTGTCGTGCCGGAATTTACAGCGAAATAGGTAAGTTAATTTTAAACTGAAGCATACTATACATTTACTGTATATTGCTATAATTTTGCTTAAATAAAAATAAAACATTTGCGTTTTTTTATTTTTTAATCCTTTCCTTCCTGTGGGCACTAAGGTGCCTATTAATATATTACCTGAGGTCGATGAAAATGTTCCAAACATCATAGATAGCCACACGGACATATGCCACAACCCGACTTCAAATCCTTAAAGATCTGAAGTCATAAAAAATTCGATTCATAAAAAAGTGAGGCTTACTTAACTTAAAATTGTCAAAAACTTTTTATTATAAAAAAATAAAACTTATAATCAATGAATCGCACGAAATTTTTTAACAAGTGAGAGAAGATTCCCTAGTTTTTACTACAGTGATACTTCGGTTTTCGTCTATAATCCGTCCAGAAACAATCAGCAAATCTGAAACCGACGAAAACCGAGGGAATTATTTTCATATGAATGAACGTAAATCCAATTAATTCGTTTTAGACATTCCAAAATATATACCAAAAACACATCTTATAGAGAATAATTATAGTGTTTAATATTAAAAACAATAAGAAATTAATATAAAATGAATGTAAAAGCGGCCGATTTCGGCAATCTTAATGTCGCTCTCCTATTTTTCAATGATTTCCTTTTTCAACCCGATCGTGTTCCTGGCTTTTTTCTTCGAAGGACTGCTGGTTCTGGAAACTTTCTTTGATCGCATGATGGAGCTAAAAGGAAAGGAAAGCAATGGAATTGTTTGGTTAGAGGCGCGGGGTAATAATGCTTACACAACGAAAAACAACGCCACACTGAACAGGAAAATGCGTGGGTCGTCTTTTGTTTTCTCAAGATTAGCAGTGAGCTTACTTGGGCACGCCGACGAAAACCAAAGCAAATTTTTCGCAAAAAATCGACGAAAACCGAGGTATTACTATATTTTCAACTGTTCTAATATGTTTATTCTAGATAAGCCTTCATCATCAAAAATATTTATTTTCTCAAACGTTTTCGGCTGTTTTAGCAGCCATTGTCAGGATACATACGAAACAAATATTGGAACATAACTTAGAACGTTTAAAGTTTAAAATTTGCATATGTATAATTAAATGTGGGCAATTACAATTTGAATATAAAATCATTTATACAAATATCAATTGATAACATAAAAAGAATGCAACATAATTTATATATGATACGACTATCGACCAATACGCTATTATATTTAGTTAATTTTTATTTTACTCATTTTAATTTGTCGTTATTTATATAGATGTTTGTATAAATACTTTTATATTCAATTCAAATGCATTCTGAAAATGACTGCTCGAACAGCTGAAAACGTTTAATAAAATAAGCTATCACCAGAAAATCATTTATCTAGAGATTTTTTTAAATTAATTTTTACAATATTAGCATACAGAGTAATATAATACAGTAGACTAAAGAGAAACTGGACGGATACACAATAAACGTGTGTACAATATAATGTTTTATTATTATAACATGGTAAAATTTTTCTTGAAATGTTTGAATTCCAAATGAGAGAAGTTAAAGCCCAAACCTCCGTGTGTAAAAGCCTTTGGATATAATAAATATATTATATATCGTGAATTTAAAACAAGTTAGAAGTGCATTTCTATTATTTATTTAGTGATTGAATTTTTAAATTTAGTGATTGAATTTTCAATCATTAAATAAATAATTTTTAATGGATTGGTATTTACCAATCCATTAAAAAGGTGTTATTTGAGATAAATATTCATGTTTATTATGAGGAAAAATAAACGAATATATTATATATGATATGTGTAATTTACGTCATAAATAAAATATATTATTGTATAAATAAGAATCTCAATCAGTTACTACATAAAAAAACTTTATAGTAAACCGAAACACTGTCTGACCTGTGTATAGAGTTTTATATATATATTTTTTTGATATTGCTTTCCTTTTCATTTAAAAAATGATAGACAACTAGTTCTTTCTTTCCTAATGATTTATCTCGAAAAAGAAATAATTTTACAAACACTTGTATTTCCGTTTAAATTAAATGATATCCTGAGCTTCAAATTTTGTATATTAAATGCTAATGTTTACGAATTCTAATTAAAGAAACTAATTATAAAACGTAAAAATTAGGTTCAAATACAAACTGGGATATTTCAAAATACTGTAGATTGAATGCTGCATGTTATCTAACATGCAACATCCAATCGATTTAAGTATATATGACATAAATATTTGATAAATTGAACGTATTAATCAAATTTTGTACAGATAAATTCAATATACTTGAATTTAGGTCAGTACGAAAGATTACAGCCACGATTTAAATTTTTTTGTAATGTCATAAAACAATTTTAGCATATGATATATAGTTTTATTGAGTTTACACAAAGCTAAATGAATTAATGTATATCACAAATTTATATAAAATAAAAATAATAAATGCAGATTAACAAAAGAAACACAACTCATTGTACAAATCGTTAATTTTTTTTAGAATAGAATAGAACGTTTATTAACGTAATAGGCAATAGCCTGTTACAAGGGGGATGTTTACACAATTATTAGAACTTTACATATATTAACTTTTCGATGAGCATTCGCCTGCGTTCCAGCCACTCGATGTTAGTGTCGGTAAACCATGTGACGGAGCATGAGACATGGCTAGAAAGTGCATAACATACGCTGACACCTTCAGTAGAAATTCAGCGAGCCTTTGCTCCAACTGTCACAAGATGAATGAAGGCCACAAAGGCATCGAACAAAATTAAGTCATTCAAGAAATGTTCAGTCAGTCATGTTTTGGACGGAAGTGAAGATAACGCTTTTTGGAAAGATTACGAGAATAATAGTCTCTCGAATGGAACATATTCGTTGTGCTGAGCATAATGTTAACGCCTCTGATTCTGAATATCCCTACAGTACCAAAAGTGACACAAAGTGTCGTGCCGGAATTTACAGCGAAATAGGTAAGTTAATTTTAAACTGAAGCATACTATACATTTACTGTATATTGCTATAATTTTGCTTAAATAAAAATAAAACATTTGCGTTTTTTTATTTTTTAATCCTTTCCTTCCTGTGGGCACTAAGGTGCCTATTAATATATTACCTGAGGTCGATGAAAATGTTCCAAACATCATAGATAGCCACACGGACATATGCCACAACCCGACTTCAAATCCTTAAAGATCTGAAGTCATAAAAAATTCGATTCATAAAAAAGTGAGGCTTACTTAACTTAAAATTGTCAAAAACTTTTTATTATAAAAAAATAAAACTTATAATCAATGAATCGCACGAAATTTTTTAACAAGTGAGAGAAGATTCCCTAGTTTTTACTACAGTGATACTTCGGTGTTCGTCTATAATCCGTCCAGAAACAATCAGCAAATCTGAAACCGACGAAAACCGAGGGAATTATTTTCATATGAATGAACGTAAATCCAATTAATTCGTTTTAGACATTCCAAAATATATACCAAAAACACATCTTATAGAGAATAATTATAGTGTTTAATATTAAAAACAATAAGAAATTAATATAAAATGAATGTAAAAGCGGCCGATTTCGGCAATCTTAATGTCGCTCTCCTATTTTTCAATGATTTCCTTTTTCAACCCGATCGTGTTCCTGGCTTTTTTCTTCGAAGGACTGCTGGTTCTGGAAACTTTCTTTGATCGCATGATGGAGCTAAAAGGAAAGGAAAGCAATGGAATTGTTTGGTTAGATGTGCAGGATAATGCTCACATGATGAGAAACAACACCATACTGAGCAGAAAATGTGTGGGTTGCCCTATGTTTTCACAAAATTAGCAAGAGATCATGTGCATGCCAACAAAATGAACTGAGGCAACTGATGAAAACCAAGACAAATTTTTCATGAAAACATCAATGAAAACTGAAACCAAAACTGAAGTCAATGAAAACTGAGGTATTACTGTAATAATAATGACATTTTAAAAAAGAAGTATATAGTGTATATGTTTAATTGCAGTTGTAACCTTAATCATACATATATTGGTGAAACTGACTGTACCCTTGAACATGTAAGAGCAATTAAATATAATTGTTAGTTCAGAATAGTTAGGCACTGCAATTTCAAAATGTATGAAATCATAAAAGAGACAATTATAATATTAAAAATAGAAACAAAACCTATTGAAAGACAGTATTATGAACATTTTAAAATTATGAATGTTTACAAAAGTTATGGAATTAATGACAGTTTAGGAAGAAAAGTGTGTGAATCTTGCTATCAATTCTCACCAAAGGGAGTTGTTAACTAATACTATAGACCCATTTAGTATACATAATCTACATAATACACATAATATGCATAATCTACTGACAGTTCACATAGACAATTCATCTATTGTTGAATTGTTCTATGTGAACTGTCAGTAGATTATATAAAAGAATTTGTAGCCAGATGGCTATACACAGTTATCAATGTATGTCCAAGTAACCTTTAGAAAT